GGACATTGTATTGAGATCTGAACTTGGGGACACTCAGGCCATTGCCCTGCTCTGGTATTTCGGGCAAAGACCTGTTTTTGGACATTGTATTGAGACTGCGACTTGGATGATCAGGGGACAGCGCCCCTTCCTTGTATGCTGTGCTGCCCCCTTCTCACCGTGTGATGCATGTATGAGTGTGAATTGTCAATTCTGCTATTGCTGTGTCAGATGTATGTTCAGTCTTCCGCTGCGTTTATATAGTCTCTTGCTTTGAGTTGACTTCTTGGATCTGCGCTATACTTGTCATGTTTGGATGTGTATGCGACACGGAGGTATGTGTGTGTGTGTGTGTGTGGCCAGAACATAGCCCTTATTTGGCCTAAGATAACCCATTCTACGAAGAAAGAAAAGAGAGAAAAGAAAACATATTTGGCAAAAACAGAACCCATATTTTGAAAAAACACAACCCAAGGCCCTCAGTTGCAACTAGAAGCAGCTGATATACCTCTGCTCCAAGGTCCAAAACCAATCACCTCCACAGCGTTTGGAATACCATCCAGGTTTTGTTTCTTTCTTCCTTTTTAATAACCCATCCAGGGTTCCCTGAGCAGGCATACACGCACAAGAAGTTAGAGGAGCTGACGTAGCAGGATAAAATCAAAGTTCATCAAACCAAGCAAGTCATGGAGTAGGGGACCCAAGGGAGCTAGGAGCTGGCTGGGTCCCACTTGCACTGATTACGAAATATATACTGGGGGGGTTGGCACAGAATGCCTGGTACATCAGCATTCATCGATTTCATCTTCATGTACTCACCATAAATACCAAAACAACACCAATTTTCCACACAAGTTGAGGTAGTTTGCATAACACATCCTTCGTTAGTTTATGTTGCTGCATTGTCACATGACCTTTTTTTCACTATACGCACTGTGAAAAAAAAAAAAAAAAAAAAAGACCAAGGACACAGACACAGTGGAGAGGGTGCACAACAGCAAAATCTTGACAAGATGGTCGAAGACGGTGGAGACCAAGGTCGGCGTCATTCATCATCATCATCATGGAGAGGTGATTGAACTCCAGATGAAGATGGAATGTAAGTACTAAGTAGTGTCTGACCATATGACACTTTTTCGTAAACAAATCGAAGTTCAATATTTACGTAACTGTTAGTCAACAACAGTATCTAATTTCAAAATGTTCATAAACAAATCAAAGTTCAAGTTGTTGAATGAACAGATCTAAGTTCAAAATTCAAATCAATCAGGATTGATTCTGTTATGGTAGGGGGGCTACACCGTTCAAGAACACAAGAAAAGGTGTGTCCGAGCTCAGGAGAGCACAAGATCAAGACCACAAATTAACCCTCAATTCACCTTTAGAAAGATGGATGCGTATCGTTCCGACATCTCCATATCGCCGACAGCTTCCGAAAGAGCTGCAGCAGCTTGAAGAGCGGCTATCCACAGTCCGCCACAATAGGCACTGGGTCCTTGTGCTGGCCTGCAGCACGCATGGTGCAACACACACTTTCATGAATAACTCAGCAAAATAGAGTCAGGGCCAGGCCCCAGCGGTGCTCGATTTATGGTTGGATAGCACGGCTCCCCTGGTCATAATAATCGCAAGGTTCGTACTTTCCTAGCATGAACCAAGCACCAGCAGGGCTTGACACTCAGAAAAGTCTGAAAAGCTGATGGGTTCAGATACTAGCTGATGGGTTCAGATATCAACAGATATCAATAGATGGTCAAGCAACCGCAGCCACTTATGGACTGCAGGTGTGAGCGAATGTCTCTATGCCGAAGAAGCAAGCATTCACATTCAATGAGATTCAATCCACTGTGCAGAACCAGATACCAGTCACAATCGCCAGAATTTGCTGCAAAGTGTGAACACAAATGATATTCGCCAGTGGCCAAAAAGTCCTCATTTTATGCCTTGGAATAAGCTTTCTTTCGCATAGATTGGCGCTTGTGTGATTCATCTCTTCTTTTTGTACGCGGTGGAACATGCCCAATCTGAATACCAGCCAAACTGAGGAATCCAAACCCCAACACACTGCCCAACTACTCAGGGGAAGCCTTTCTCAGAGATCCCACTATCAGTACCTTGCCAGGCAGGTAAGGGTCCATGTCGTCATGTTCGGTTGCCCGAAAACGATTTCACTTAGTTTTCCAGATAGCGTGAGAAAGACAAGAAGATGAGGCCATTCACACAACCAAGCTGTCGCAT